CCCCAAAACCCCAAAACCCCAAAACCCCAAAACCCCTGAATATTTATGACATATAGAATTTAAGTCAAAGATTATAAAAGAATAATAAATATGAAGCTATTAATTTTGTCTTTACTCATCTTCTCAGTTTGAACCATTTCTTCTGAACAGAGAATTCTCTCCACAGCTCAAGAGTGTAGCCAATGCATTAATTCTTCTGCCACAAATTGGTGAAGAGATAAGGATAATGCAGATAATGGATTCTGATGAAAGGTGAATGACCCAAGATCAGAATGTCAGGATAGCACAAATAAAGTATGCTCTAATCATCCAAGCTTTACTATCTCTTCTGCTAAATTGCTTTGCCCTTCTGAGGTCGAATCTTGCATTATGAGCACTACAAATTTCAAAGAGGGCAAAGCTGAGAAGATCTCTTACAAAATTCATATGCCTCCTAATGACAATTGCCAATTTAATATTGAGCCACATCACAAACATATCAAGACTCTCAACATCAAAATAGGTAAACATCCTTATATTCTAAATTTGATGATCTTGCTTTCTTATTTTTGCTACGTTCGCGAAATATCTTTGCTAGAATAAGCCCGAAATAATTTCATATCTTCCTACTCAAAATAAGCGTTTTAATTTTTTATAAATTTTCCCAGAAATTTAAGAAAATTATATTGAGCAGAAACCCCGATGAAGAGAATAGCCTCTAGCCTTCTCAGGCTCTAACCTGTTAACAGAGAGATATAGATAAGATAGAGAACACAGATCTCGAAATATACACAGAGCATAAGGATTTCAATTATGAAATGGTATCTACAACTAATACCACTCAAGCTATCTCACTTAACAAGAAGGTTCAGAGAATTTATTTCTTGCTTCAGTCCTCTCAAGAAAGCGTTGATTTAGATTTTAGTACAAAGATTATTTCTTGCAAGTAAGGTTCGGATAAATTACCTCTAGTCATCACGATGACGACGACGAATGCGAAGATGATACTATCCTCGATGATGTATTGGAAACCATATTGCATTTTATTTTAATAGATGGAATCTTAATGCTTTCCGTCGCTGCAATACTTCATTTTACTGGGTTTAATTCAAAATTGGTCTGAATGCGTGTCAAAATGTTTAACGAAGCCCAAGACCAAAAGAAAATAACCGATATTAAGGCAATTAATGACCAAGAAAGATGTCCTGTCGAAGCTTTCCCTGTCCCTCAACCTGACCTTGGTAAGGTCCTCCTGATCTAAAATTAGAACATACCATTTCAGATATGGACCCTACCAAACCATCAACACAACCCCAACCCACAAAGTAACTCTCATCTCTAACCTCCAGCACCCCCACTTTGCAAAACCCAGGCTTAGGTACCATAAAGTCCATATTCTTCCAAAAATCCTAACCCACCACTCATATTTCCCACACAAAAAATCCAAATTTCAACTTGACTCTCTTCCTTAGGGGTTTTGGGGTTTTGGGGTTTTGGGG